AGCTGAGGGTCTCAGCAGACCTGCAGCTTTCTGGACTTTGTTCCAGATATGTGGAGCAGAAAACCTGAATGCTGCTTCTCCATGTTTAGTTCTGACTCTGGGAACAGAAAGTAGACCGGTCCCAGAGGACCTAAGGGGTCGGGATGGTTCATAAGGTAGCAGCAGATCAGAGATGTGTTTTGGCCCTAAACCATTCAGTGCTTTGTAAACCAACAGCAGGATTTTAAAGTCAATTCTTTGTTTGACAGGAAGCCAGTGCAAAGACCTCAGAACTGGAGTGATGTGATCCACCCTCCTGGTCTTAGTGAGGACTCGAGCTGCAGCGTTCTGAATCAGCTGCAGCTTTCTGACTGACTTTTTTACAGAGACCTGTAAACACACCGTTACAGTAGTCCAGTCCACTGAAGATAAATGCACGGACAAGTTTTTACAAACCCTGTTGAGACATAAATCCTCTAATCCTTGATATATTCTTCAGGTGATAGTAGGTGATTTTGTAATTGTCTTGATATGGCTGTTCAGGTTGAGGTCTGAATCCATAACTACACCTAGATTTCTGGCTTGGTTTGTGCCAGTAAGTACTTTTACTTTTGTATTTTATGTTTTGATAAGACTTTTTAAACTTTGAATTATTATTATTATTATTATTATTATTATTAGTAGTAGTATTAGTATTATTATATACCTATATTTAGCTTATTCTTGTTGCCTGTTAGACATTATGAATACAAGAATGGGTGGATATATACAGTTGTGTGAAAGTGTTTGCCCCCTTCCTGATTTCTTATTTTTTTGCTTGTTTGTCACACTTAAATGTTTCAGATCATCAAACAAATTTAAATATTAGACAAAGATAACACAAGTAAACACAAAATGCAGTTTTTAAATGAAGGTTATTATTATTAAGGGGGAAAAAAAATCCAAACCTACATGGCCCTGTGTGAAAAAGTGATTGCCCCCTAAACCTAATAACTGGTTGGGCCACCCTTAGCAGCAACAACTGCAATCAAGCGTTTGCGATAACTGGCAATGAGTCTTTTACAGCGCTGTAGAGGAATTTTGGCCCACTCATCTTTGCAGAATTGTTGTAATTCAGCCACATTGGAGGGTTTTCGAGCATGAACCGCCTTTTTAAGGTCATGCCACAGCATCTCAATCGGATTCAGGTCGGGACTTTGACTAGGCCACTCCAAAGTCTTCATTTTGTTTTTCTTAAGCCATTCAGAGGTGGACTTGCTGGTGTGTTTTGGATCATTGTCCTGCTGCAGAACCCAAGTGCGCTTCAGCTTGAGGTCACGAACAGATGGCCGGACATTCTCCTTCAGGATTTTTTGGTAGACAGCAGAATTCATGGTTCCATTTACCACAGCAAGTCTTCCAGGTCCTGAAGCAGCAAAACAGCCCCAGACCATCACACTACCACCACCATATTTTACTGTTGGTATGATGTTCCTTTTCTGAAATGCCGTGTTACTTTTACGCCACATGTAATGGGACATACACCTTCCAAAAAGTTCAACTTTTGTCTCGTCAGTCCACAGAGTATTTTCCCAAAAGTCTTGGGGATCATCAAGATGTTTTCTGGCAAAACTGAGACGAGCCTTTATGTTCTTTTTGCTCAGCAGTGGTTTTCGTCTTGGAACTCTGCCATGCAGGCCATTTTTGCCCAGTCTCTTTCTTATGGTGGAGTCATGAACACTGACCTTAATTGAGGCAAGTGAGGCCTGCAGTTCTTTGGATGTTGTTCTGGGGTCTTTTGTGACCTCTTGGATGAGTCGTCGCTGCGCTCTTGGGGTAATTTTGGTCGGCCGGCCACTCCTGGGAAGGTTCACCACTGTTCCATGTTTTCGCCATTTGTGGATAATGGCTCTCACTGTGGTTCGCTGGAGTCCCAAAGCTTTAGAAATGGCTTTGTAACCTTTTCCAGACTGATAGATCTCAATTACTTTGTTTCTCATTTGTTCCTGAATTTCTTTGGATCGCAGCATGATGTCTAGCTTTTGAAGATCTTTTGGTCTACCTCACTTTGTCAGGCAGGTCCTATTTAAGTGATTTCTTGATTGAGAACAGGTGTGGCAGTAATTAGGCCTGGGTGTGGCTAGAGAAATTGAATTCAGCTTTCCAAAGATGTGATAAACCACAGTTAATTTATGTTTTAACAGGGGGGGGGCAATCACTTTTTCACACAGGGCCATGTAGGTTTGGATTTTTTTTCCCCCTTAATAATAAAACCTTCATTTAAAAACTGCATTTTGTGTTTACTTGTGTTATCTTTGTCTAATATTTAAATTTGTTTGATGATCTGAAACATTTAAGTGTGACAAACATGCAAAAAAATAAGAAATCAGGAAGGGGGCAAACACTTTTTCACACAACTGTATATTTTAGATATGAAAGAAAATATTTACTGACCAGCACATTTTGCAGTTGTAAATGACTGTGGCAATGCTCTTTGGCGTCAGTGTTATTGAATGACCTCAAACACATCACATAACAGTTTTATATCAAACAACGCATGCAGATTATTATATCTGCAAAAGCATATCAGCCCCGCCATTGGTTGAGCTCTAATTGGAATGTTACCACATTATATGATGATAGGAACGAGGAAGCTATGAAAACAAGACTGAGACAATAGCAAAAGGTACAATCACACCTCCATCACCAAAACCTAAAAGGTGACCTTCAAAAGTTTTAAAATGAAAACTATGACACTTAGTTTCTGTTTGCCCAAGCAGTGCAAATAGCACTTGATGTAGGAACGTGCTCGACTGCATGTTTGTGGTGCAAACTGTTTTTAATTGCTCTTACTTGAAATGTTGCTGTTTAATTGAGCTATGGAATTGTAGCATCTCCAAATAGCTAATGTCTAGCGTTCGCTTTGTTTGCCTCATAGAGGCGAGGCCCAGTTTGCCTTCTTAATAAATGTTAATTTTGCAGAAAAGCAGCAGTTGATGAAATGGCACCCAGGATCTGTACATCTCGGTGATGGCTTCATGTCATGTTTAAAGCTTAGACTGTAGAAGTGGACGTATTGGTTTGTGGACTGATGTTTTGAAGCCTTGAGTTCTGTGATTTCACCGTCGCCATCTTAGATTACGGCCATCGCCATCTTGACTTCTTGCAACCAGTGAACAGGAAGTGACCATATCTGCACTGAGGAGTGATGTAGAGACGCCATCTGCGTCTCTGGTAGATACCTGTCAATCACTGTGTAGCCCCGCCCCTAAATCATACTCTGCTTTATGGTCTGTTTTATTCTAAATGGACCATAATTTACTCAATGAACATCATGCTGTATTGAAGAAGACTTGAATACATCAAGTGAGAAGTAGTCCTTTTCTCATAGACTTCTATACAGCCAGAGGAGATTCCCCCTGCTGGTCAGTAGAGAGAATGAAAGAGTCTGGTTTTAAACTGAGTGTGAGAGTAAATCAGCCAAGCCATAGTGTGACGCAAAGCACACAACTCCTGAGGGATGCTACTCTTTTTGTCTTGATGGGTTCCCCATGCCCTGTAACCATGAGACCCTGAGCCTTTACAGCAAGGATGGCATTCTGTGAATGGAGGGCTTTGCTCCATATAAGGTAAAGCAGCACCATTATTGGCTTGGAAGTGAGGTCTGTAATCTGAGACCCATCACTTTTTCTTCTCTCAGCAACAGACCACTGTGCTCTCAGTAAGACTCCTGTCGCTGTGGTTAGGCTGCCCATTCTTCACTAGACTTTTATTTATTTATTCTCAGCTTTTGTACCTTGACAAAACTACAGATCTAGGTTTTATATTCATTACACCAACTATAGTGACTAGGATAGAAAGAGCAACATTGTGCTGTTCTCAGGGCCGTGCTAGTATTGGACTAGTGTGTCAGAGATTTGTGACAAAACGGATCCTGGTGGCATCTGTCTTTGACAAAGTTGTACTCGGGCTTTTATTCTAGTTTGTTGCAGTTATGTTGCATTCACACAGAATCAGGCAGATGGGCCTTCTCAGGACGGCCAGGACGCCTGAGCCGGCAGCTCGTAGCCATGGATGTATAGAGAGAACTGGATATGGTGTTCATTATTATAAAAGTTGCTCAGTGGCGCATGAAGCACAAAAAGGTTGACTTCCGACTATACATTTCTGATGAAAGTTCCCGGATCTTCCACATTATGGGGCCCAAAAAGCAAGCCCCGCCTCCCGGCCCTCAGTCAAGCCTCATATGAACTCAGGAAGGAAAATAACTCTTGATTCAGCTGTTGCAACACTATAATACTACACTGTACAGCACAATACGATGAAATACATAAATACAGTACAAAAGTAGCAGATTTAGTAGCATGATTACTGGTGATTGCAGGTTTGGTTTGCTTCATCTATTTGGTTTTTGTTTGTTTGAAACCGGCAGAATTTTTGGCTTTCTGGAGAACCGCTCATACAAACAAGTTCACATTCATCGCTGCTCTTCCTCTGGTCCTCAGCAACACACCTGACATGTCATAGATGAGTCACGCACACAAGTCACAGCTCCTCACGGTCACAAATGCCAGAGCACAATGAACACTCCGGTTCAGAGGAAAATACCGGGAGCAGACTTTACTGTTAGTTAACCTGGGAACCCAACTGAAAGGGTCCCAAACAGTTATAGATTAATCATGATGTTTAGATATGAAAAGGCTGAGTGGCTAGTAAGTTTTGAAAACCATTAGCCCCAGTGGCTACAAGTCATGAAGACACAAGCCATCTTTTTCAGGTCATATTTCCTGACAGCCATAGCTTGTCATTAATTTAGTTGAGATATAATGTGGTACATTTTGACATGTTTCTTCTTATTCTTTCACAGATGTTTCAGAGAATTTAGATCATGAAAATGTGTCTAAAAGTCGTGGAAATGTATCGGTAAAATGTGTAGAAATCATTTAACCAACTGCTCTCAATAATGTGATTCTAGAGTGAAGGAACATCAATGCACTAGCTGTCTTTCTTCTCATGTTCCTCTCCTCTGTGGTCTTCCTCAGACGGTCAGGTGATTCCACTGGTGGAGTTGTCAGCGAAACAGGTAGCGTTCCACATCCCGTTTGAGGTGGTGGAGAAGGTCTACCCGCCTGTCCCAGAACAGCTCCAGCTCCGCATCGCCTACTGGAGCTTCCCCGAGAATGAGGAGGACATCAGGTGAGAACACTGATGACCTGGATTTGTTTCTTCACCTTTTATTAGGGATGTGCCGATTGACAATCATGTCTCCTGTTGACAGCCAAGTATCATTTTCAGCAACACACCTGTCATGTCATAGATGAGTCCCACACACAAGTCACGGCTCCTCACGGTCACAAACACCAGAGAAATACACTTCGGTTCAGAGGAAAACACCAGGAGTAGACTTTACTGTGAGGCAGCCTGAACCTGGAGCCCCAACTTAAAGGGCCCAAAACTGTTTAAGATTTATATGATGTTTAAATATGAAAAATATTGAAATATGTTACAATTCTAACTCTTTGTACTGTGAAATAACTTACAAAATACAGCATTAAAAGGCACCTGAAACACTTATATGCAACTCAACTCAATATTACTGTGTACTTTTACTTCAACTGTTTATGTAAAAGATTCACATTTGACACACAAAATATAAGAATTAAATTAAAGCTGCAAGCAGCGATGAACGGGCCCTCGGCTCATGTGCACAGCGGGGTACTAGAGGGATACCGGTTGACACGGCTGTGTATTTCTGTGACCATCCAGCGCTGCATACAGTGGCTTCCTGTTGTCAGTAGGTACCGTTATGACTATAACTCAATGTGGGTGAGTAGGTGTCTTTAGGCCTGAACTCTTATCCAGCATGTGAGATTTGGGGCAGATTGGACAATGTAAAGTCAAGTTACCACATATTCCTGTGTCATGGCGAAAAATGCAGATTTCCCGTCTCGCCAAAGCAGCTAAGTTAAATGAAAACCTAAAAACTTCGCAGCTCGGCATCATGAAGGACTTGAGACTCTGCTCACCAAATTCGAGATGGATCTGTTTCAATCCTAAAGGAGTTTCAAAAAGTTCCATACCTGTGAAGGGCCTAACATGGAGTATTATCACATGTCCTATGACATCATCGCTTAAGGTGTAGAACAGGGGTCTTCAATGTTTTTCAGGCCAAGGATCCCCAAACTGATAGAGATTATCAGTTTCTCTGGTTTTACTATTTATTGGTATGTGTTTGAGTAAAATGAAATGTTTTGTTTTATTCTATAAACTACTGACAACATTTCTCCCAAATTTCAAATAATAATATTGTGATTTAGAGCATTTGTTTGCAGAAAATGACAACTGGTCAAAATAACGATGCAGTGTTTTCAGATCTCGAATAATGCAAAGAAAACAAGTTCATATTCATTTTAAACACAATACTAATGTTTTAACTTAGGAAGAGCAATCAATATTTGGTGGAATAACCTTGATTTACAATCGCAGCTTTCATGCGTCTTGTGGTGCTCTCCACCATCTCTCACATTGCTGTTGGGTGACTTTATGCCACTCCTGGTGCAAAGATCCAAGCAGCTCGGATTTGTTTGATGGCTTGTGACCATCCATCTTCCTCTTGATCACATTCTTGAGGTTTTCTATGGGATTCAGGTCTGGAGATTGGGCTGGCCATGACAGGGTCCTGATCTGGTGGTCCTTCATCCACACCTTCACTGACCTGGCTATGTGGCATGGAGCATTGTCCTGCTGGAGAAAACACTCCTCAGTTGGAGAACATTGTCAGAGCAGAAGGAAGCAAGTCTTCTTCCAGGACAACTTTGTACTTGGCTTGACTCATGCGTCCTTCACAAAGACAAATCTGCCCGATTCCAGCCTTGCTGAAGCCCCCAGATCATCACCGATCCTCCACCAAATCTCACAGCAGGTGCGAGACACTGGCTTGTAGGCCTCTCCAGGTCTCCGTCTAACCATTAGACCACCAGGTGTTGGGCAAAGCTGAAAGTTGGACTCTTCAGAGAAGATGACCTTACTCCAGTCCTCTACGGTCCAGTCCTTCTGGTCTTTTGCAAACCTCAGCCTGGCTCTTCTTTGCTTCTCGTTGATGAAGGGCTTTTTTCTAGCTTTGCACGACTTCAGCCCGGCCCCTAGCAGCCTGTTTCTAACCGTCCTTGCCGTGCACTTCACCCCAGCTGCCGTTTGCCATTCTTTTTGGAGGTCACTTGATGTCATCCTACGCTTGTTGAGTGACATTTGAATGAGTTGGCGGTCATCCCGGTGAGTGGAGAGTTGTTTTCGTCCTCTGCCGGTCTGTAGCTTTGTTGTCCCTAATGTCTGCTGCTTGACCTTATGAACTGCAGTCTTTGAAATTTTAAGGATGGAAGCAACCTGACGCTCGCTGTATCCCTCTGCCAGTAAAACCAGAATTGAACCCTTGTTTTCCTCACTCAAAACTTTTCTTTTTAACTCTTTTGGCACGGTCAATAGTCACTTTTTTTAAAATTACTTTTGAGGTACTACTAGCACTGTTTCTGCCATCCAGCTGGTCTTATTGCAAGAGGATAGTGATGACCACAGCACTGTTTTTTTATACGTTTCTTCATTAAATAAGATTTGGTTCAGGTGATCACCTAATCACTACCTCATAAAGTAGAATAAGGTGTGCCTATATTGAAATTCAACAGACACTGGAATGGAATGGCTGCCATACACGTAGAGATGCTGATTTAAGAAAAATTTGGAGTGGTCTCTTAATTTTTTCCAGAGCTGCATATTGTATAAAATTGTGTTTTATATTAAACTGGGCCTAGTACCATGTATAAACATACCTTGTTATTGTGCATTCAATACTGAACTATTAAAATAATGGACAGATTCATGTTTTTTTGGTCGAGTTACAAAACGATCCATTTTTGCTCATAACAATGTCCAAACACTTATAATAATATACTGGCCTCAGTAGTTTGCTGTTGTAGAGAGGAGCTGCAGTGTTTTAGCAGGAATATCTTGCACAAATGATTGCACAAGGATTCGTGGGTGAAGTAAATGTCGTTGTTTTTTCATTTATTTATTTTTTTACAACGGTATCTTCTTTTCAAATAATATTGCAGCGTGCGTCCTTGTGTCTGTGATCTTAGTCAGCTGGGGACTAAATAGGCTCTCGGTCAATCACGGGGAACCTGACTGAGCCAGCATGTAACATGCGGCCTCGTGATTGGCACAGCAGCGATAGGGGCGGGTCCTCCTCTTGGTGTGCGGTAGGCTTGGAGGGAGGACAGGTCCCAGGCTAGTCTCGTGCTGTCAGTGACCTGTGCCCAGTGTGTCGCTCAATGTGTGCATTTCTGACTGAAAGATAAGATCTTCTGCCTCCTTTATCCATTCCCTACAACATGTTGGATTCATGTTAATGTGTATTTGAAGACATTTCAATTTGTGGGTCTTTTGAAGACCTCTGGTGTAGAATATTACTTTGCAAATTTAGCATCCCATTAGTTGGAGTTCACCAAGTTTTGTGAACATCAAAGGAACTTTATCATGACCCCGGCGTGCGTTTAGGGCGCCGTGTATCCTGCTGGTCCTGCCTGAGCCCAATCACTCCACAACAGCATCACAAGTCTCTGGAATAATAACAGTAATCTCTACAAAAACAATGCCCTCAATACGATGCATTATTGTTCATTCAACGATGCAGCAGCTTGAACAGATGTGAAGTAGTACAGTACTGATCTCAAGCTCTCTTTCACTCCTCTCCTGAAATGAACATTTGCATGCAGGACGTTTGCTGTGGTGTTATGGACCCTAAATGGATTTCCTTGTACCACTTCCAATATTAAGGTTCTCAGTTAGAGAGCGGGTGGAAGGTAAAGCAGGACAGCGTCTGCCTGGGGCCCTCAAGCCACTAAATCACCCTCTGAAAAACTAAGTTTGTTCACAGGGAAAAACACCAGGGCAGACTTTACTGTTAAGCAAGGTAGGCAACCTGGGTCTGGGGCCCCAACTAAAAGAGCCCCAGACAGCTATAGATGTATTATGGTGTTTGGCTGTGAAAATGATTGAATGATGTTACTGTTCTAACCATGAACCAACCTGTACAATGACGAGGAGGGATTGTAATCATCTGTAAAGTCGTATCTCATATTCATGCACTACTTTATTGTCTTTATACAAGACTTGTAAAGAAAGAAATCAAGTATTGCATAGAAAGAAACAAAAGTTTTAATATCATGTGAACAATTGGATTTGCCTGCAAAATATTTACTCGAATGTAGATTTTTTTTTTTTTTTTTTTATTTTTTTTTTTATTTATTTATTTATTTTTTTTTAAAGACGTATTTGTGGAGCATCTAAAAACAAATTGTTGTGCTTTGTATAATCCTAGACATGTAAATGGTGCTTTTATCAGTGAATTATTTGGGACAGTCATGTGATCGCGTGTGGTTACAAAAATTCAGAGGTGCACAACCAAGCGCCTCGACCACTTCGCGCTGCATGCGGCGGCTGGGATTACACCATTTTCTGGCATGCGCCAGTTTCTACTCGCCTCCCTACGGAGAGTATAAACTAAGCTACTCTCTCTTTGCGGTGCCAGCCCAGGGCTCCAGTGAAAGTAGCTAGCAGCATTAGCTCCAAAAGTCACCAAATCTAGCAAGAAAGTCTCCAAGTAGTCAACACTGACCGCCCGTCCCTTCAGATCAACATCCAAAGACATCCCTTAAATGATCATTATGAACATAAAGAACCAACATGGCTACTGTTGGTCTTACAGCTGTTAAGATGGTGACGAGGAATGAGTTCACAGGCAAAACATGCACAGACAGGCAGGTAGACAGGCTGTCAGGATGTAATGACAATTTCAACAAAAATATCAAATGTTTCTGAAGATGATTACCAACCCTGCCTTTAAGTGAGATGAGAGATTTAGTTAATGGGACCAGCTATGGGAACCCAAGCTTACATTTGTAGCAAACCTCGACAGGCTTGGATGAAATGGAGTTGTTTCCTAGACAAAGGAGGCCTTCACACACCACCTTACACCACCAACTAACAGGTGGAAGCACAACAAACCTACTCAGCGTCCTTGTTAACACTCTTATTATCTAATGTCCTGAAAGAAAAAGTTATCCAGAATTGAATTTTGACTGAGCTGACCTATTGAACAGGATGACTGGCCTAGAAAACAGGACTCAGCAGTGTGGATGTACTTCGTCTTTGTGGTTCATTTAATCCGCTGGTTCTCTTGATCTTCGCTTCACATTTGACTTGTCTTTTTCTCTCACCGTCTCTCTCCCTGTCCTCTCTTGCTGCAGGTTATATTCCTGCCTGGCTAATGGGAGTCCGGATGAATTCCAACGTGGAGAGCAGCTCTACAGGATCAGGGCTGTCAAAGACCCCCTGCAGATTGGTGGGTTTAGTTGTCGCTCTGACCACACTTAGGCCCTGTTGAGACCTGACGTCGACATGCGTCTTGTGTGATCTGATCCATCACAAGTACGTCAGTTCTAACCTGGCATTAGAACTCCAGTGACCACTTGTGATCAGATCAGCCTTCCCTGCTCCATATGCAAATAAATGGCTCACACACCAGACGCTGCAACATGATATTACAGGAATGTCAGCCACAATAGCCTACATATTTGAGAATTTGGGTATATTTTAAGAACCTAAAAATATAAGGTTATTATCTAACGTCCGTCCCCGGGGATCTCCGTGCCGCACACACCACCACACAAAGCCAGCAATGCACTTCCCCTTCCAGTCTGTAGAGAAACAGCCCATAGATGAGATATATTTTAATATGTTGCTCTAGAAAGAGAATACACAGAAGATGTGAGTTTACTCGCGGTCTCTTCGAATGATCAGATCTCAATGTGTCTCCGGTACATTCACCCCTGTACTCAGAACTCTCCACTTGTTGATGCTAGATGTGAACATACTGTAAACTATAACGTTTACAGTATAGTGTGCTCTGTATGGAATACCAATCTACTAGACTGAAGCTTATAATGAGGGCATACTTGAGTAAGTCATGTGGTTTTAAGGCACTCATTCACTTCCACTGTATCAATAAATTGGTACATTACAAATTCAGTCATAAAATACTTACAAAATATATTCAATTGAGTGAGTTCATTAATATACAGTGAAGAGCTAAGACAGTTGTGTCATTCCCCCTCTGTCTTTCTGTGACTGTCTCTCTTTGTCCAGGTTTCCATCTCAGTGCTACAGTGGTGACCAGTCAGTCCGGTCAGTCCAAAGGGGCTTACAATGTGGCGGTCATGTTCGATCGCTGCCGCATCACTTCCTGCAGCTGCACCTGTGGCGCCGGGGCCAAATGGTGCGCCCATGTGGTGGCTCTCTGCCTCTTCAGGATCCACAATGTGAGTTCATGTCCACACAGACAAAGTCTATTAAACCGTGTCACATTTTCATAGAGTGAAAAACCAAGCGAAAGTATTAATAGACCCAAGGACTCCACACAGAACGTGTTGACAACCACACAGAAAATACCAAGGAGCAGTTTCAGTTTAATATGGCTGTTAAAAGGACGGTATGGGGTTTCAGACTGTTGGTCACACAAGATAAGCAATTTGAAGATGCATCATTTGGACTCTGGGAATGTATGATGGGCTTTTATTGTTTTATTATTCAGGGATTTTCAAAACTAAATGATCAGTTATTTGAAAAGAATCGATATGATAATGGACAATGGAACTAGTTGAGCGGAATGCCCACAGATGTGCTACATAGTTCACTTGTTAAGGTGATTGGGTGTTGCTGCTCATTGCTGTGTGTGTGTGTGTGTGTGTGTGTGTGTGCGTGCGCGTGCGCGTGCGTGCAGGCATCAGCAGTGTGTCTGAGGGCTCCAGTCTCTGAGTCTTTGTCCAGGCTGCAGAGAGACCAGCTCCAGAAGTTCGCCCAGTACCTCATCAGTGAGCTGCCTCAGCAGGTAACATCCATGTCTGTATGTATGATATCTCCATGATTTATATGTCGTATCAGGGCTTGACAGTAACGGCTGCCAGGTTACTGTACAGGTTACTCGCAACCATTTTGAGAAATTAGCCAATTCCATCAATGGCTCCACTTTTTAACATACAAATATAGCGACAGCAGAACTTAACCCCAAAATGAATGTTTTTTTATTATATTTGCTGCATCAGTGATACTTCGATGCTGTTACAGTCAGAACCAGACAAAGCTACATGTGTGTTGGTTGCACTCGGGCCTCTGTTTTAGAGACGCCTGTGAAGCAAACAATTTAGTTTGACTGTGAAGTGAAAAGTTGAAGTAACCCGTCGGCATCACAAAAGAATGTGCAAATTTATTCCAACTAACAAAGAACCACCCGAACCTGACGAGGTATCTTGAGCTGGACGTAAAGTTATGCTGCAAAGTATTTACAAGACATCGATAAGCCGGAGCAGGTGCTATCCTGCCTTTGGTCGGAAAAGAGATCAACTCAATGCCTCACACGTTCTACTGGCCAGGCGCCAGAAAAAACAAAATATTCAGAATAAATAAGACAAATCAATACTTGCATGAACTTTTTAATTTGTATTATTTAATGACTATTCAAAATTCATGGCCCGTCCTTATTATAACTGCACAGTATCCAACTTAATTCAAATATCAGGTGACCAAAAGCTGATGCCTGGTTACCAGCAGATAACCACTTTTAACAAGTCAAGTCGGTGTTGAGCCCTGCATTTACAGGATATATATCTGACAAAGCATTCCTGTTTGTGCCTCAGATCCTCCCCACAGCTCAGCGGCTGCTGGATGAGCTGCTGTCCTCTCAGTCTACCGCCATCAACACCGTGTGTGGAGCTCCAGGTACAGTAGCAGTGATGATAACACTTCTATGTTCCTGACGTTGAGCAATAGAGCACCGTCTGATGTCATCACCACAGGAGATCACTTCAGTCAAGCTTCTCTCTGAAAACACGAGAGTGAACCAGTGTCAGCCTAAATGATTGCATGTTTCTGCAGCTAGGTGGCAGTGCTGTTGCAGAGGTATTTCCTGCGTGCTGCTCTTGTGAAGAGTGTCTGCTTACATGACATTGTTGTGAATGGAGAGAGGTGTGTTAATGTTGTGGATGCCTTGCTCAGAGAAAGCTCAAGTTATCATTGTATGATGTGTGTGCAGACCCGACAGCAGGCCCTTCAGCATCTGACCAGAGTACTTGGTATTTGGATGAGTCGACCCTCAGCGACAACATCAAAAAGACTCTGCACAAGTTCTGTGGGCCCTCACCTGTCGTCTTCAGGTACGCACTACTTGTCTCACGTAACGGTCCTTAACGCATTTTTTTAAAGGGCCAGTGTGTACCATTTCATGGGATCTGTTAGAAGTGGAATATCCTATTCATAAGTGTGTTTTCATTGGTGTATCATGACCTATAATAACTAAGAATGGTTGTGCTTTGTTAGCTTAGAAGGAGCCCTTCATATCTACATAGGGAGCGGGTCCTCTTCCACAGAGTCCATCATATTTCTACAGTAGCCCAGAATGGACAAACTATAAACTGGCTCTAGAGGGAGCCTTTGACGACACTTAACCCCAAAATGTCTGTGTAGAAATATGATTGTATCTGAACTGTAGGATAAAAGCGTCTGCTAAATAACTGTAATGTATCTGAAGGCCACCGTAGTTCTCTACATGCTGTGAGCCGCAGAGTGTAAAACTGTGATTAAAAACCGCCGTCTGACTTCCGTTGCTCCTTCAGTAGTGTTATTATGGTAATAATGGCGGCACTACCACGGTTTTGCACTAGGCGGCTCACGCTAACGCAATTTTGTAAAGTGAGGAGAGAACGGAGGGGTATTCAGTTGGTTGTAAACTGCAGCCACAGAGATAGACGACAGCAAATCCTGGTCCTCTAAATTTAGCAGGAGTATTGTTAACTTCAGGGCTGTACTCAACTAAGCCATTTCATACAAAAAATGGCTATACACATGCTGGCTGAGTTCTTAATTTTTGATCAGCATAGTGAGTGTAGTTAACTCTTACTATATTACTATTACTACTTTCTTTGATTAATGTACTAAGAGTGTGTGTGTTTAATCCACAGTGATGTAAACTCCATGTACCTGTCATCCACGGAGCCGCCAGCCGCCGCTGAATGGGCGTGTCTGCTGCGACCTCTGAGGGGCAGAGAGCCAGAAGGCATCTGGAACCTTCTGTCCATCGTCAGGGAGATGTTCAAGAGACGAGACAGCAACGCCGCCCCGCTGCTTGAGATTCTCACTGAACAGTGCCTCACCTATGAACAGGTACGTCCGTAACATAACGCACACTCCCAAAAAACTACACACATGAGCATGTTGGTGTTGATGTAAAAACTGTAACCTGCAGACATGAGAGGGGTCTTAACCCACCCATTTGAACAATTCTCACATTTAGAGTTGTAATACATTTTGCAGTGGTAGTTTGGATTTTTGAATTGAGATCATGCTTAAGAATCTCAAGTCTGTGGTAAAATATTGCTAATGAATCCTTTAAATATTGACCTCCTTTATCTATGCACTCAATATACTCTCACACACACTCATTTTAAATGCTGTTTTCAATTCCACCATGTACAGAGGCAGGACAGGTATGGATCTGATAATCGAGTCATCTATATGGGCCACACCATATGTCACATATTTATGACCTGGTCCGTTACTTTATTGTTTTTTATCACTCTGTGGTCCAGTGGTGTTCCTTATGTATTCAAATCGGGACATTCACATTTTGATCGAAGTACGTATGTTTTAGCGTCAAAATGACCTGAACTAGGTTTCTGCATGATGATGCTGCTCCAAGCACTACATGCACAGTATATATACTCATTGTTATGGTCAGTGTTGTAATGTTACATTCTGTGACTTTGGTAGCGGTTTGGAGAAGCCAAATGAAAGTGGTCATATGGCTCTCTTCAAAGCCACCAGACAAAACGGAACACGGGAGTACACATACAACCTCACCTCACAAAATGAACTCGCTGTGGTAACCTACGTCAATGGCTGAGCGGGCATTTCCCATTTAACAACACGGAAAAGAAGGCAGATAGTGTCGACCTCTAAGTTACGTTATACTACAATGAAATGAGTACGCATTATGTTTTGGTTACATTATGAACAACTTGATGACTTTTATTTATGTCGGTGCATTGTGCTGGCAATCTCTGGGCCTTCATTCACATGAGGACCTTTCATATAAGGTAACTGTTGTATACTGTACATTCTCTGATACACACCTCACTGAGTCGTCTGACTGCGTGTGTTCAGATCATCAGCTGGTGGTACAGCGTTCGGACCTCAGCGTCCCACAGCAGCGCCAGTGGCCACACTGGACGCAGCAACGGCCAGTCAGAGGTGGCGGCTCACGCCTGTGCCAGCATGTGTGATGAGATGGTGGTGCTGTGGAGGCTGGCAGTGCTCGACCCCACTATGAGCCCCTGCAGGTCAGACCTCTCGAACTGTCAAAGAGTTTGGTCATGATTGGGAATGTTGTGCAATATCAGTCAAATTTATCACTTAATGATTGCATTAAACACCATATTTAAAGGGACAGCTCACCCTAAAATCCCACATACGCATGTTTCCTCTTACCTGTAGTGCTATGTATCATTCTAGATTGTTTTTGGTGTGAGTTGCCGAGTGCTGGAGGTATCTGCTGTAGAGATGTGCAATCTAGTCCCATTATATTGGAGAGAAGACGGACATCTCTACGGCCAATATCTCCAACACCTGGCAACTCTCACCAAAACTATTTATTTATAAAATGTGTATTTGTGATCATAGGGTGAACTGTCCTTTTTAAAATGGGAGTAAATATGAAGTAAAGACTGTGTATGCTCTCTTCCAGGCGTCTGGAACTAGCAGGCCAGCTGAAGCAGTGGCACCTGAAAGTTATAGAGATAGTGAAGCGGGGACAACATCGCAAGTCCCTGGATAAACTGTTCCAGGGCTTCAAGCCCGCTGTGGAGTCCTGCTATTTCAACTGGGAGGTGGCCTACCCACTAGACGGCATCACCTACTGCTGTGCTGATAAGAAGAGTGCCACTTTCTGCTGGTCCAGGGCAGTGCAGCACCAGAGAGGAGTCAAAGCTGCTGCAGGAGTGGGCGGAGAACCTCCTGAACCAGGGGGAGGGGGGAGAGGTGAAGGTGGAGCTGGGGGAGATTTTAAAGGAAGAGGTCACCCGTCCCAACAGGAGGTGGCAGTGCGACCTAAGGAGACCATACTGACCAAGAGAAAAGGTCTGTCAGTGAGCGGAGGGGGAGGGATGCTGGTCCGTCTGGGAGGGGCCGTCGCTCTGTCCCTGGAAGACGGAGGAGGGAAGTGTGTGTACAAAGGGCCGGGCTCCTCCTCTGGAGGGAAGCTGAAACTGACACAGGGAGGCGGGAAGGGGGCATCTGTAGGAGGTCCAGGAGGAAGTGGAGGCATAGGAGGTGGTAAGCATGCTGGTGCCAAGCGGAGAACCAGCAGTGAAGACAGCTCCCTGGAGCCGGATCTGGCTGAGCTCAGCCTGGACGACGGCTGCAGTCTGGCTCTGGGGGCTGAGGCCAGCAACACTTTTGAGTTTCTCCCCCCACCACCAGAGATGCTGCCCTCCCCCAGCCTGCTGCTCCGAGACTCGCGCAAGTACAACAACAACAGCAGCGGGGGGGGCAAAATGTTTGAGGCGAAGCGCGTGAGCCATGCCTCAGCTGCACTTCCTGCCGCAGAGCCTGCTCCAGCACACGCAGTGGTGGTTGTTATGGACATGCAAAGCGCTGCAGAGAAGGAAGCAGAGCTGAAGGCGACGCCTGTCCAGAACAAAGATGAAGATGTAGACTCGGCCGGCAGTAACCAGCCTTCCACCTCAACCACTACGGTAAGATCAGTCACCACTCAACCGTCTGCCAAGCCACCGCGGGCCCGCAGAGAGGTGGTGTCTGGTGGAGCAGTAGCAGGGACTGGAGCAGCTGCTGCAGCTGGGCTAGCCAACCAAGGAGCAGAGGCAGCAAGTGGAGCTGCAGGAGGAGAAGCTGTGGCTGAGGACGACTATCAAGCATACTACCCGAGTGCTGCCTCACAGGAGGGAGCAGACAGACAGCTGACTGACAACCACCAGGAGGAGGAGCCAGACATCTTCGCAGGGATGAAACCGCTGGAGCAGGAGCCACACATGGATGTAAGGAAGGAATACCAAGAGTTGTCCAGAGTCACAGCTTTACGGGAATGGAAAGATTCAAATGCAAACCGTCCATAAACCTTGCATTTGAAAGATTTGTATTCAAGTCATTGAATATAAAATGATATTTTAACACACATTATACAGCTATGTTTAGCAGTTAAAGAAATCTAATCTTGTTAGTCTTTCTGTAACACTGTGTTACTTATATGCGTATGACTGTTGGTACAGACCTACAGTGTCTGTACACTCTTAGAAATACAGGTGGAACTAAAGGCAATCAAAAGCTGATGCTTAATTTCATGCCTGGAAACTACTTTAAAAGTTAGTTTTGAGCTCTGTAACATCCACCACTCATCCTGTTACTGTCCACCTGTCTGCCAAAACTACAAAGACCAGAGTGAGCAGCACATGCCAAAAACCGCAGCTGTTTCTTACTGACCTGAATACTGTTTTGTGTGTGTGTGCGCAGGTGCTGTTTGCGTGTGCCGAGGCCCTCCATGCTCATGGCTACAGTAATGAGGCGTGCCGGCTGGCCGTGGAGCTGGCCAGAGACCTGTTAGCCAATCCTCCAGACCTGAAAGTGGAGCAGCCACAGACTAAGGTAGAGCACCCCTGCAACACATCCTCGTATGTCTGTTCAATCTTCTTCTCCGTTTCTGTTGTACATTCTCAAGCTTCCAAACTCACCAGTCAGCATCTTGAATTGTGAAGTGGGATATTGAGCCTCTTAATGATGGAAAGCCACCAGATTATTGTTTTTATAATGCAATTCTTGCTGTGCCAATTTGTAAATGAGCCACAAATATTAATATTAACTATTCACAAAAAAGAAGAAATTCAAAGTGTAAATCTACTTTGTGTTACATGTCCTGACATGGTTATTGCTCCACTGGTTGCTGGGCAGGGTAAGAAGAGCAAGGTGTCCACCAGCCGTCAGACGCAGGTAGCCACTAACACGCTGTCCAAGGCTGCCTTCCTCCTCACTGTTCTCTGTGAACGACTGGAGCTCCACAACCTGGCCTTCAGCACCGGCATGTTCTCCCTGGAGCTCCAGAGACCACCGGCATCTACCAAAGCTCTGGAGGTCTGCCACACTCACATAAATATGCACACACACTCCAAAAACACGAAAGGTTAATTGCGTTGAATGGTTGCAGAGTTACATTTATTTTGAATTATATGATATAAAAGAAAGTCATCGGCATGCATTGTGTAGCAATAATGAATTATCATAGTATTTGGATCTGCGAGCTACTGGCTACTATTTGTTGAGAGGGTTTCCCCCCCCGATGCAACCATATGACGCCATGACATTATGGCCCTCAGGCCCTGAACACACGGAGTGTGTGTTGAAGTTTTTTGTGGTTGTTGTTGCTAGGCAACCAACAAATGAGTGGGAAGGATATCTTAACACAAACCCTAACCTAATGTTCAATAGTTCAGTTTAAATGAATATAACAGCTTACCTGAAATCTTTAGTAACCTGCTGTTTTCTGTCCACATCCCGCTCACTACTGTCTGTAAAGTCCTGTAGCTTCAGGTATCCAGCAAACATCACCGCAGTGAGAAAAAACTCTAATGACGCTGGGCGCTTTTCCGTTTCAGCTGGCGGCGTTCAGAGCGTTCCGTTAAAACTGTGAGCAGTTTGCGAAACGCTTCCTTTTCATTGAACACTATTACTAAAGCCGAAACTCTCACCAGGGCCTAAATGAGCCCTGTTGACTAATGTATTGTCATTTCATGGAGGGATAGAACGAACAATTATTTTTTTTATTCTGCCAATGAATGCCCTTTGCAACTACTCAGAGACCAAAGTGACATCCGAAAATGCCTTGTTTAGTCCAAAATATTTAGTTTACAACGATGCAAAACAGAGAAACGAAAGAAATGCTCCCCTTTGTTCGGCTGGAACTGGAGAATGCTTTTTCACTACTTTATTTATAAGAAACGGATACAATTAATAGATTATCAAAGTACTTTGGGTATTTATTGTGGTCTTTCACTTAATTCACCTGTTGCCTGCCCAACATCACATTTATTTTTCCCTATCCACTAATGAAGAAATGTGTTGTTGTTGTATCCATAACAAACAGGTTCGCCACTAAAGACACTCTGCTTCGATTGTGACTTGATAGTTTTGCGTAAGTCGCACAGAGTCGTCTTTTCGGGATAGCTTCCTTATTCCTGGATGAACTCCGTGTATGTGGTGGATATGTACCACGCATACTGACTGCGTGTGTGTTTTGGTTGACCAGGTGAAGCTGGCCTACCAGGAGTCGGAGGTGGTGTCTCTGTTGAAGAAGATTCCTCTGGGCCTGGTGGAGATGTCGGCCATCAGAGAGAGAGGCGAGCAGCTCCGAGACGGAAACTTCTGTGACTACAGACCTGTGCTGCCTCTCATGTTGGCCAGCTTCATCTTTGATGTCCTGTGCACCCCAGGTGAGCACCAACTGTTTCATCGTTGGAACTCTGCTTACTTGGTTAAGTAGTTTTTACGGTGAAGACTGTTGTTATGTACACGCTGTGTAGTGTATTGAGAGGGTACCCTTAGTGACTGTTGCACTGCCGAACGGCATGCTGGGTACAGCTCGCTCTCCGTCGATGTTCATGTGCGCTTTTGCACCCACATGAAACGTACACTCTACCATTGCCAGATACAGCCATGTCATGCTCAGGTTACAAAGACATGTATGTAAGATCCCCTGCCAGAATCAAAGCGGTGATGTTGCGGTAAAAGGATGTATACATGCATGTGTATACACCCTTGTGTGTCACCTGATTCACTTTTCTATGGAGTATATTGACTGCCTGATTTTGAGCAAGTGGCAACTGAGTGAGAACTTACACGATTGTTTTTCATCCAAAATCAAGTCATTTTAAATGGGAACTTCAAGAATTAACATCACTTTCCCTTTTCTCCATATTGTTTGTGCAGTTGTGTCCCCAACGGGTTCCCGTCCACCAAGCCGCAACCGTAACAACGACATGCCCGGTGATGAGGAGCTGGGCTTCGAGGCTGCTGTCGCTGCTCTTGGTAAATTCATTCTTCCCGTTCCTTCATTTTTGTCCGTCTTTTTGCTCCTCAATGTTCACTTCTGTCATGTCTCCTGTCGTTGTCTATACTGTGTCTCCCCCCCCCCCCCCCCCCACGCCCCTGCTGTAATCTCTCCTCTTGCTGTGTGTCTGAAGGTATGAAGACCACCGTAAGTGAGGCGGAGCATCCTCTGCTGTGTGAAGGAACTAGACGGGTGAAAGGTGACCTGGCTCTGGCTCTCATGATCACCTATAAGGACGACCAGAGCAAGCTCAAGAAGGTACTAGCCATCACTACTATGATCATTCTAACCACATGAACATGAGAACATGGTGGGTCTGAGAACTGTGTGATTCTTCCAGTAAGCCGGGCAGAGCAGTCTGATTGGTTGATTATGTTTGTTGAAGCTGTAGCAGAGGATCAGAGAACAGCTCTGTCTTGGAAACTGTGCATGCTTTACTGTTTTTAGGACTTGATTTATTATGTTTTTGGTGACTTTTGGTATATGGGCAAATACTACACACGGATAGTCCAGCACTCCCCCTGAACGCTTCAACATGCATCTATAAAGAACTTCAGCACAGACGACAGTCTGCAGGCTGCTCACCAGCTTTTCTCTTATTCATACGACTTAAAGCCAGCTGTGGGAGTTCAAGACAGTCCATAAATACAAATACAGGGTAAAGTGCATAGTAAGCAGATATGTTGAAGCGAAGTCTCTCCTGCTGTTTCTTTCTCCCCCTCCCCCCTCTCTCTCTGTCCCTTCTCCTGCATCTCTCTTCCTCTCTCCTCCTCCCGTCCTCAGATACTGGATAAATTGTTGGACAGGGAGAGTCAGACCCACAAGCCCCAGACTCTAAGCTCCTTCTACTCCAGCAAGCCGGCAGCTGGCAGCCAGCGCAGCCCATCCAAACACACTGCCGCCAGCCACAGCGGGGCCAGCGGGGGGGTCTCCAAACACGCGCCCTCATCTTCGTCCGCGGCAGCAGTGGTGGCCTCTTCTTCCAGCTCTTCCTCTGCTGTAGCAGTGGCTGGTGAAGAGGCGGCTCATCAGGCTGATTTGAACACAGTGCAGAACAACAGTACAGCAGGAGAGAGCACTGCTGAGACCAGGGAGCATGGTGAGACCCTCCTCTTATAGTACTGCAGATCATCCACAGCAGCTTCATGGGTTAGACAGGGTTATTGGGGAGTAGTAGAACTATGGCCGTGGTTACACTTGTCTTTTTAATGGGACACATCAGAACTCAACTGTGTCCACACTTGTGTGCGTCCACATTGACACTTAGTAGTGTGGATTGTGTTCACATGCTATTCACAACTCACTGAGATCCAAACTCAACGTTATCCAGCCCACCTCGGCATGTGACAAAGTTCACATTGAAATCACATGTAGTGCTTTAAAAGTACTCTTTAAATCATAAAATCAAAAGTAGAATTGACCTAGATATCCTGTGCTGCCATACATTAGGTCAGTGGTTCTCAAACTTTTTCTGTCGCGCCCCACTTTGGAGGAAGAAAAATGTTCATGCCCCACCGCCCCAACAAAATTGTAACAAAATGGTCCATGTTGAATTTTTATTGAAATAACAACATTGTGTGACTCCTCTGTCTGTGCTTTTTCAAATAATAGAATAAAGAAACTTGCAATCACTTTTAAGTAAACCAGATTGCTCCATCAGACAAAAACAAATAAAATGTGCAATTGCTTTGTTAGAACAATGCAAATAAAGTTATATCTGTGCAAAAAAGAACTACAATTTGGCAAAAAATTGCTTGTTGCAATTGGCTGCAATTAACCTGTTTTGCACTAAACATCTTTTCAAGATAACAATAAAGTGCAACCCGTGAAAAACTAAACAAAACAAGTTCAAATATTTGGTTATAAAGAGTTTTACACTGCATTTTGCTTGCGGTATTCATCAAGTTTCCTCTGAAAGAACTCCAGTGGCTTATTGACGTGAGTGGGGTGTAATGTCTCCAAGTGTCTTTTTAATTTGTTGGGTTTCATACTATCCGCAGCTAGAGTTTTCAGACATAAAACACAGACTGGTCTCTCCTCATCTCCTACCGCGTTCACTGTGAAACCCAGTGCAAGATAGGCGTCATCATATTTTCTTCTTGGCTGCTTGCTGTTCGTCTCGGATGCATCGCTTGCGGTTGCTTTTCTGTTCCCGCCTGCCAAATGTCTCTTCATTTTGAAGACTAAGCCACACATGTGAGTCGCCAAGGATCATGGCCGTCGCGCATGCGCAAGCGTAACCTGTTAATGGCGTAACGTAAACATTTACATGAAAGTACAGGCATTTCGCCATGTATTTATTAATTAATTAAAAAAAATAATAATTCTGCATTTCCCCCTGCGCCCCACCTGTAATACCACCGTGCCCCACTAGAGGGGCGCGCCCCACAGTTTGAGAACCACTGCATTAGGTGATCAAGCTATGGAAACTCTTTGACAGAGATGGACCCATGTACATTGTCTTTCCTTGCCGTGTCAGATGGGCCTCCTTCATCGAGTGACCAGCAGAATGAAACGGCTCCATTTAAGCTGGAGGCCACAGTGCCCAGTCGGCTGGCGCTGGGGGCGCGCTGTGGCTACAATCAGCGCTGCTGGGGCTCTCCTGTCCGGCAGAAGAAGAAACACACCGGTACACTCAATAATGTCACAGAATCACCTTCACTTATATCCACATGATCAGACTATGCTGTGCAGATTTGTAGCCTGGCTCATATGTGTGGTGATTTCCCATAAAGAATGAAACCACACACATGCAGTGAGAGTGATGTGAATGTGATGTTTGCACAGGCATGGCGAGTATCGACAGCAGTGCTCCGGAGACCACCTCGGACAGCTCCCCCACTCTCAGCCGTCGGCCGCTCCGGGGCGGCTGGGCGGCAACGTCTTGGGGGCGGGGCCAGGACAGTGACAGCATCAGCAGCTCCTCGTCTGATTCGCTGGGCTCCTCCTCCTCCAGCGGCTCTCGCAGGGCAGGGGGCGGGGCCAGGGCCAAGAGCACCGACACCAGCAGGTAAACAAAGGCTTCCTCCTCATCTGGTCAAAAAAAAAAAAAAAAAACTGGAGGCAGGGTTCACCCTGGACAGGTTTTCAGATTATCACAGGGCTGACCGATAAAGATGGACAACCATTCACACTCACATCCACACCTACAGGCATTTTAGAGTCCGTTAACCAAAGCTGCATGTCTTTGGACTGTGGGGGTGGGGGGGAGCCGGAGAACCCACGCCGACACGGGGAGAACATGCAGACTCCACACAGAAGGCCTGTCTTGCCTGGGAATTGAAGCCGGGCCACTCTTGATTTTCAATGGTTCTATGACCAGACTTTCCTGTTTGAAATCCTATTCTCCGCAGTAACTGTGTTTACATTCTTTCATTGACTTGGTGATGTGAAGCGTTGGTGTGTTGATGGCGATGTATTACTGAAAATATAACTGAGCCTTTCTTCATCTTCCTTTAACGTCGTCTTCACTCTCAACAGTCTTCCTTCCGGCCTTAGACACTTGAGAAAACTTAAGCAGCCTGAGCTGACCAGTCACAGCGCTTGTGGTGTCCAAGTAGTATATCCGGCACGTCCCAGCCATGGCAGTCCTATGCTGCGTCACTATAAGCCCTCATCATACAGCTCTAAATGCACCTCAGTAAAAGTGATGCTCATTGCTCCAAGCCTGACCTGAGCGACAGGGCGAATGCTTTCAGGTGTAAACAGCCAAGGCAACATGTTCAGAATGTTGTTATACTCCATGCATACAATACTAGAGCATAAAGTATACAAGCATGAGGTCTCAGGAAATGCTACAGTCAAAAAGTAGATGAGTGGTAAAGCTGAGCTGGAGTAGGACCAGACCTGCCTGGAAACATTAGTCTGCTTTGTTGAGCAGGTTTTTTGTGTCTTTTTTTTCTGAAGAGGGATGAAATGTCACAGAAATGTGCTGTGTTTCCCTGAGTCCAGGTACAAAGGGCGACGTCCAGAGTGCCATGCCCCCCACGTGCCCAACCAGCCATCGGAGGCAGCAGCCCATTTTTACTTTGAGCTGGCCAAGACGGTGCTGATCAAAGCCGGAGGAAACTCCTCCACCTCCATTTTTACCCAGCCCTCGGCCAGCGGGGGACACCAGGGACCCCACAGGAACCTGCACCTGTGTGCCTTTGAGATTGGCCTGTATGCTCTGGGCCTCCACAATTTTGTCTCACCCAACTGGCTGTCCAGGACCTACTCCTCCCATGTATCCTGGATCACTGGTGAGGGGCGAGTGTGTTATGAGAGAAAGAAGTTAGACCGAAACATTTCTTTCTTTCCGTCCTGCTCACACACTCAATCCTCTCTCCTTCTCTCAGGCCAGGCAATGGAGATCGGCAGTGCCGCCCTCAACATTTTGGTGGAGTGTTGGGACGGTCACCTCACCCCTCCAGAGGTGGCGTCCCTCGCTGACCGAGCATCGCGGGCCAGGGACCCCAACATGGTTCGGGCGGCAGCAGAGCTGGCCCTGAGCTGCCTGCCTCACGCTCATGCCCTCAATCCTAATGAAATCCAGAGAGCCCTGGTGCAGTGCAAAGAGCAGGTACTGTGGGAGTGTGGTTACAGCTCACAACCAGAGAGGTGTGACCTCCACGTGTGTCTGCAACCACCACTGCTGTATTGACTGAATACAGCGAGTGCTGTAACGCGTCATCACACTTCATTCAAACTCAAAAACAAGTGGCGATGTAATGTTCTACAAGCAATGGGGGCTGGAAGGCTACGTATAATACACTTCATACAATCGTGACAAAACAGACAGTAGTTCCGTTAGCTGTTAGCGTTTAGCCAATCACAACAGTAACAGTGTGCAAACTGTTTCCACTCCACTCTGTCTCTGGTCTCAGAGTAGTGGTTGAAGTGAGTGAGGAGTCAGCAGGCAGGGTGAGTCACCGCAACCATGTGTGTTCATTGAGAACGCAGCCATAACTGGAGGCTGCAGCAGAATGAGAGATTAACTGTGGACAAACACGGAGCTGAACACTCACTCAGTCGTTCAACCCTGGGAACTGGTCATTCTAAATTTGGAAGGAAAAGGGTCAAATGCAAAAAGATGCACAGCAAATTTCAGTTTAGGTTCCAGGTAGTCTGTAGGTTGTACAGAGTGTTAAATCAGTAAACGTATTGATTTAAAAAAACTCTCTTCCAGTTTCTTGTAGATCAATCATATAAAAAATCAACCTGAAATGCATGTTTTATATTCTGGCTTTTTGAAACTAAATTGGGTTGTATCACATTTTGATGAAAAACAACCTCAGTTGAAATAGTGGCAACAGAATAAACTAGAGTTCCAGCTGACTGTAGGACAGACAACAGACAACATGGGACCATGTTACGGAGTGTGTCGGAGGGTCAAATCTCAATTTGATATGAGTCCTGGCACCGTGACATGAACTTGAATCTTATTCTAATTTTGAAATGTACATGTGTATTGAAATGAAACCCATCCTTGTATTAGCAGCAGTGGTGAACTGGCACCTCCCCAGCTACCAGTCCACACTCGCAGCTTTAATCCAGAGAGCAGCTGGATACTGTTGCCATAGACACCTTTGATGTTAAAGTGCTCTTCTTTAGCTCAGACATGCTGATAAAGAAGCTGTCTGTCCCCGTGTCCCTGCAGGACAACGTGATGCTGGAGAAGGCCTGCATGGCAGTAGAGGAAGCAGCCAAGGGTGGAGGTGTGTACCCCGAGGTTCTGTTTGAGGTGGCTCACCAGTGGTACTGGCTGTATGAGCAGTCAGTGGGCGGGGGCTCAGGCCAGCAGCGGGAGACCTCTGGGCGCTGTGGGGCCAACGGGGGCTCGGGCAGGAGGCCCCTGGAGTCCAGCTGCGTTGTCCTCGACGCCAACATGGAGTCCGCGGGAGTGGCGACGGTCGCGGCCTCGGTCACCGCGGCGGCCGTCGTGCCCGTCATCTCCGTGGGATCCACCATCTATCAGTCCCACGCCATGCCGGGGCAGGCCATGGTGCACCCCCACAGCCAGGGCCTCCACCCCTACACCACCATTCAGGCCCATCTCCCCACCGTCTGCACCCCCCAGTACCTGGGACACCCTCTGCAGCATGTCCAACGACCCACCATCTTCCCTGTAGCTGGGGCTGCATACCCACAGGTCAGAACCGCTCTCTATACAAACGTCTTAAAGTACAGTTTGGATGCTCTTCACTAAAAGCTGCAGGCAGTGAGTCGGAGTACATCACCGACATTCCAGGCTGCTACTCATGATACATCTGCTGATTCTTCTGATTGGTTGCTCTTCAAAATGCTTAGACTTTCATGACTAACTGATTTTTTATTTTAAAAGTGTCTATTCTGCTTGTTTCAGCTCTAGTACATTTCCATCCTCCTGCTCCTTTACACATTGTCGATCTGTGCGTAACAAAAGCTCTCTGGAAACCGTAGAAATATGCAAAAAAGTTGAATGCTTAGCTGAGGTAGAAATGATTAGTCAATGAATCATTTGGCCAATCAACAGAGCATTAATCGGCTATTTTGGTAAACAAGACATCATGTAGTCATTTTTGAACAAAGTAGACTCCAGATGTTTTATTTACAGGGAGAGAATCCTGCTGGACTGGAGGTCTAATTAGTTTCATTATTGAACTGTACATATTGATTGAAGAGGTTTAAACTGTGATTAGTTCAGCTGAAGTTCCAACAGCGCTAACAGATATATTCTACTCTCTGAAGTAGATCAAATGAACAGTTCTTGAAGAATAGAGACAGACAGAAATGATTTGCTTCATGGTTAGATGGTAGTGGTATGAGCAGGTAACTCAAGGTGTGTGTGTGTGTGTGTGTGTGTGTGTGTGTGTGTGTGTGTGTGTGTGTGTGTGTGTGTGTGTGTGTGTATAATGTGTATAATGTGTATAATATGTATAATATGTGTGTGTGTGTGCCCCCTCAGGGAATGCACCCAGCCTTCATCGGGGCCCAGTACCCGTTCTCAGTGGCCACTGTCCCCCAGCCTCCGATGGCAGCCACGGCCGTGACCTTCCCCGGTGTCCCCGTACCGTCCATGACTCAGATCGCCGTCCACCCCTACCACCCTGATACAGGCCTGCCCCTCAGCACCACCGTAGCAGGTCAGGACTACACACACTGTGTTCAAATCCAGCAGCTATCAACGTTCTATTACATGTCGTCTGGTAAGCTGCAGCACCACGGGATGGGCTCATGTGTGTCGCTCTATGCTAAACTTGCCTTTGGTGTTTTACAGTAGGCAGCATCCACGCGGGCCCCACTATCCAGGCCATACAGGGGACGGCCCTGTCCTCCCAGCCCGTCTCGTTGCTCAGCTCTCCTTTCCCAGCAGAGGATGAGCAGCACAGCCAGCCAATCAGCCAACAGGGCCTGCACTACCTGCATTCTGCTTACAGAGTTGGTGAGGAGTTTGTGTCCCAGGATTCTGTTTTATGTTAACCAATGTGCATATTGTGCAAAGGTCCACTGAGCAACTCTCTTCTTTGTGTGAAGGAATGCTGGCATTGGAGATGCTGGGCAGGAGGGCTCACAATGACCACCCGAACAACTTCTCCAGGAGCCCGCCTTACACTGAGGACGTCAAATGGCTGCTTGGACTGGCTGCGAGGCTAGGTGAGCTGCACATACACGACTGGACTATAGCTGGAGGGATGGTTTGAGTGGCTAATGCAGGAGATGAGTGGTTAGTTAACTGGTTTAAGGATTATTGAGGCATCTGGTACATACTTGAGTATGGCTGGAAGCACACACCAATGACATACAGTATCACACTAACGCACCGTGAACAAAAGGAACCACTCTCTGGGGATTGGACACACTCTTTATAATAGCAGAAAGTAACATTTTAGAGGCGAAGACCAAAAGAGACAGCAGCTATTCATATCAGAGGTAGCCAACACACACACAGCCTCTGTACCTCAACCCACTGGATGAGAGGTAGACCGGGTAACATTTAGACATGTTTGATGGCGTTCACATATATTGGATTGACAGTGAAGGAACGATGGCCCTTTTCATACATTTCAGTACCAGTTTCAGTGATCTCAAACAGACGGGTGACCAGGAGTCTCTACACAACCACGAGTAAATAAGCAATATAGACTCTTTGACATCCGACGTCATCAAAAACATGTGCGCGCAGGTGTACAACAGACCATCCAGACAAGTTGGCAGACTTTAGTCGTTGACTTAAAACTGTTTCCAGCATCAAAGCCTCTGATTGTTGCGTGTTCTGATTTTAGAATCAATATTCCATCAACAGACTCCAGAGTCCCAACAGAGCAGCAGGTGTTTCAGTTTAACCAGTCTGTGTTACATATAGATGGCTGGTAGATAATAAACATGGATGAGTGTTTATTCTAACTGATAGAAGGCTTTTACCGACATGATCTGGTAGTGTTTTCAACAGCCGCCGTCACTACGAGCAACCACGATGCATTCGGCAGAGAGTCATCAGTTAACAGTCACTGGTTAAACCAGGAAGCAACCTCGGTTCTGCCGAGTGAAGCCAATGTTTCAAGTGTCGTAAAGCTGCATTCTCTCTAGTGTCCACCAGGGGGCGACTCCTCTGGTTGTATAGAAGTCTATGAGAAAATGACTCTACTTCTCTCTTGATTTATTACCTCAGTAAACATTGTAAAAATGAGTTTATGGTCTCAATCTCTAGTTTCAAGTCTTCTTCAATATAGCATGATGTTCATTTAGTACATTATGGTCCTTTTAGAGTCAAACAGACCATAAAGCAGGGGATGCTTTAGGGCGAGGCTTACTGTGATTGACAAGTCTCTACGTCACTTCTCCCCAGTCCAAATATGGTAACATCTGTTCATCGGTTGCGAAAGAAACATGGCGACTGCTGTCATCCAAGATGGTGCCGGGGAAATGGCCGAACTCAAGGCTTCATAACATCAGTCCTCAAACCAATGAGGGAGGTCACCCTGACTACGTCCACTTATATACAGTCTGTGGGTTAAACGGAAACACCGGCGGCGTCTATGGCTGCGAGCTATTGAACGTGTTGACTACCACTCATTTAAAAGGTAATATAGTCAAATCTGTGAATCTCTGTCATGGTGTGTGACGTTCAGTACACGGATAACAGAGTTGGATCACAGTAACCTGGAGCTCATAATGTCTCTCTGGTGGAACATTACATGCCAGCTTTCTCCACCAAATCCATGTTTTCATCTAGATACTAGCTAATGTATTCTACACACTCACTAACGGCACACGGGTCGGGAAAGTCACTTTCTAGGTTGCATTCTCCATCTATGGTGGTTAATCTCTTTAAGCAGTTGAACTCCACCGTACTGTTGTTGTCAAACTGTGTGGGCACTCCTACGC